CCTGGAGAGAGAGAGAGAGAGAGAGAGAGAGAGAGAGGGAGAAACAAATCTACGGGTAGTCTGTGCTAACCTTTTATAGGTTAGACAGATATGGTTAAGAACAGAATAACATTTAATAACATAATGCACCAGTTCACAGAAATATGTTCCATGGGTTTTCAATAGCTAGCTTTTGGGGGACGTTCATCAGACTTCTCTTCCACCTCCAGAAAGACTCACACAATCAGCCTTTTGGTGAGTGGCCTAGTAAGTTAACCGAACACACATGGAGTCATAAACTGGCAGTGATTTGACACCTGGCATGGCAGTGATTGCCCTAGGGACACTTAGTTCCCTGTGAGGCCTCTGGACAGTGTTCATTGCTACAAACAGAACGTGTGATAGCTGCTAACGCTGGGAAATGGCTTTTCAACTCTTTATAGGTTTAAGGGACACATCAATATGCCTTCTGAGAAAAAGTATTTTTTTAAAGGATGATGAAACTTAATCTCACATAGTTTGGTCATGCTGTAAAAAGGCTTCAGCTCTTGGAAAAAGACATCATTCTTGACAAAGTAGCAAAAGAGATGAAGACCCTCAGAGGGAAGAACTGACACAGTGACTGACACAATGAGTTTGAACATGGTAGAGAGCATGAAGACATAGCTGGATAAGGAAGGTGTCAAGGTGTTGTTCATAGAGTTGCTATGAGTTGTCGTAGACACCTAACAACAACAATGGAAGTCCTAAGATGAACTGGAAAATCTTGGGGGTGGGGGAACAACCTCAAGGAAATATATCCAAAAGTGAAGAAGATCATAGTTTCAGATTTCACCTCCAGCTCTGTCTTCCCCCAAACACTAATCAATGGAAAACCAAGAGGATGGGCGTGAGCATCATCAGTTTTTCTATCATAAATAATCTCAGTATAAATTCTCTGGGGAAACACAGAGGACTTTCAGAATATATCTTTTCTCCCAATACATGTTACATTTTCTTAAGGCAAAGATATCTTTCTTACTTTCCTGTTAAACATATTGATGTGACCAAATCATTTCTTTTATAAGGACAATCTCTCACAACAGACCTTCCAGTTCTCATTATTGTTGCTAGTTTGTTATTTGAACAATCAACTTGACCTTGCTATACAGTAGGCACTGTTAGAGTTGCCAGAAATATAGAAGTGAACAAAAGGCCGAGATTTTGCCCTCCTTGTAGATGAAGCTGACATCCATTGGATGGGCTGGTGATCCTCAGACCTAAACAACATCCAGTCTAGATAACAGAATTTTTTAAAAAAACCACTTTCAGACATTGTGTGCATTCAGAATTTATTCCCTCAAAAATATTACATCTTTCTGATTCTCTGTCTTCTCTCTCAAACCCCCTATGCAATATGTGTAACCTCACACATGGTGTTATAAGTTTCCATCAAGTCAACTGTGACTGATGGCAACCTTATGTGCATATTAAAATTACTCTAAAGTTTCCAAGTCTGTAAACTTTTGGAAACATATCACCAAATGTAAGGTATCTGAGATACCTTCAGTGTGTTCAATTGTCAAATTTTCAGTAAACAGTTGAGTGTTTAATCATTTGTACTATTCAGGAACTCTTATGTATCCCATAGCTAGTGGGAGTGGAACCCAGGGGTGGTGGTATTGTGTGCAATACCAGTTGGAACCAAGTCATAGTTGACCCTCCAGACAGTTTTCAGAAGCCGTTGATCACATTGGTGGAGAAAGCCCATCCATTTAATGTGGAGCAGATGGTTGATTCAAACTTTGCCTTTGGGATTACAACACAGCTTCTTCCCACCAGAGCTCCCTGAGCCCAAAGTTAGCTGTTGTTTGTTGTCAAGTCAGAACTGACCAACATCCATTTCTCTCTCTCTCTCTCTCTCTCACACACACACACACACACACACACACACACACACACACAAACCAGCCCCTTTCTCTCTCTCTCTCTCACACACACACACACACACCAGCCCCTTTTTTAGCGGCAATAAATGGCTCACGAGTATATTGCCCATCCTTCTGTGGAGTAACTGGCAGATTCAAATCATGTGCCTTTGGGATTATAGCATAGCTTCTTACCACTAGCCCACCAGAGCATATATAAATCTACAAGCTATGTAAATACACCACCTACTCATTACAGGAAACCCAGCCATGCCCACACATTGTCATGGTTCGATCCTCAGGAAGCTACCTATGATCATAATCCTAACAGAGTGGGGAAATGCACACGTGCAAACACTTTGTGCACTAAGCTGCGGTTCCCTCTCCAGCTGTGCTTGGTAGCTGTTCTTCCCATCGCTGCTATAAGGTCCGGAAGATGACACAGTTAGTAGGCAACTCTGTTTACATGCCTGTAAACAAGAGGGCTCGGCTTTAAATAATTACGTCAAAGAAATGACAACTGTGCTCTTTGCCAGAACAGGGATGAATAATTACTAAGCCAGGACATAATTAAGCAATTCTGACTGTCGGATTTGGGAGCTGTCTCTCTGACGTGAAGGCTGAGGGTTGTCCCCCGGATGGGTCCCCACACTGCTTTGATCTGAGCTTTCTGGCACAGCCAGGACCCCAGAGTCTGGAGATCACCGGAGCTTTTCTTTGGGGCTGCCATCTTCTCTGTACCCAGCTCGATGCTCTCAGCCTTGACACCAGCAGGCCTCAATGACTGATATTTGACAACAATATATATTTTTTCTTTCTTTCATAGTCTGTGAAATGCGCAAAGCCTGGCTATTGCAGGCCCATTAAGTACACACACACTCAGGCACATGGGTACATGTACATACAAAGTGTAGAGTCCATTGTAACACTCGCTCTCACCTCCTAGTGAATGACAGCATCTTTCTGTAGAACAATCAGCACTCAGACAGAAGGCGGCTTTAAACAACAAAAGCTAAAAGGCAGCAACGAAGGAGAAATGTGTCATCGTGAGAGACGGCGAGAGGGAACTCACAGGCACGCAGCAGGGCCTGACGGGTGCCCAGCGAAGCCTTTGTGACACAGAGGTTTTATTAGTTCCACGGTGATTTTACATTTGCATCAGCTGAGAACACCCCAAGTGCCCCTTCTCTACCTCCGAGGCAAGGGCTGTGATTGGAGAGGCATCTCCCACTCCCCCAAATACTTTATGTCCAGAATAAAATGAAAACAGCTCCCCAAATCACATCCCCCTGCATCATTCATCAGAGCATTCCGCTGAACAAGCACTACAGACCTCTTACAGCCTCAGAGAGGACAGCAGCCAGCTCGAGATTCGACTCTGCTATGAAAAATAGGTCTTCGCCGAGCAGGCTCAGCCCAGCCCCAGCAATTCATGGGGAGGAAATTGTTCTCCACTTAGAAGCTGGCTCCGGATATACACATACCTCCCAGAACATACATATGCATATAAATACACAGAGATGGAAAGTATATATACACACCTGCATGGGAGCAAACATATGTCTGTACACACTGTGAGCAGGTGAGAGTCAGGCTTCTGAGCAGCCCTTTTAATGCCAATGTATTAATTCAGCAAGGGATGCTCATTTGGTCTCTTTCTATCTGCAAGAAAATTGCCAGTACCTATCTTTGAAGACAACAGACAAAAGGGAATTGCCTGCCATTCAAAAGAAGCGTGCAATTTGATATGAAATGAGGAACACAGAGAAACGCTCCTGTGAACTTGAAGAATTATTGCATAAAGAGAATTCCACACGGAAGGCCAGATCTCTGTCCTGGCCATGGGCCTATCAGGATGGGGCTTTGGGACCTGGGTTTATTCTCTCCCAGTTTTCTCATCTGTAAAGTGGGAGTATATATCCCTCAGGATGTCCTCCTCTGTCTGGAAACCCCTACAATCTAACTGAAGTTCCCAGCACTCTGTAAGACAAATTTGTTTCAAATAATTAATAGAGATTTTTAAGCTTAATACGGTTTGGTTGTTGGAGTCAATCACACAAACATAAGTTAATTCTACAATTGATTAGAAACTAATTTGTATCTCTGAAGAGCATTTCTGCTGATGTTGCTAATGATTCAGAAAAAGAGCTAATACTAGATTTTAAGGCGCCATTCCAAGTTGCTTTAAAAGACAGGGAAATGACTTTTTCCCTCCACCCCCACTTCAACTGGAAAGTTTTCTTTTTACCAATTTTCTTCTTTTAGACCTTACTATTAGGCTTTCTTTGAACAAAGCGGTCCATTTACTTGTTGGAACAATATTCAGGTCTCTGCTTTTTATAGATTGAATTGTGACACCCTCCAGCCCCCCAAAAATATGTGTTGAAATCCTAACTACTTTACCTACATATACAGCCTTGCTGAGAATGAGGGATTTTTTTGATATGCTAATGAGGTCATGCCAGGGTAGGTAGGACTTAAACCTCATCACTTCTGCATTATAAAAAGAATATGTATATGTATATGTATATGTATATGTATATGTATATGTATATGTATATGATGTATATGATGCATATGATGTGTATGATGTATATGTATATAAAAACAGCCATAGACATACATACAGGGAAAGGCAGGCAACATGTGAGGAAAGGAATACCGAAGATTGCCAAAAAGCACCAGAAACTTGGAGAAGGGCTCACAGAAGGAACTAGTGTAGGTAAGATCCTGATTTGCCCTTTAAGCCTACAGAACTGTGAGATGATACACTGCTCTTCTCTCAAGCCATTCACATTAGGCATCTGTGACAACAGCACTAGGTAACTAAGACCCTGCTTCAGACTGAGAAGAATGTGGACTCCAGTAGACACCCAGGTGAATCCCCAGTTCTAGATATTACTGTGGCTTTGGCCATCCCAATAAACTGCTCTGGAATTGAGCTGCCATCTCTGTAAAATGAGCTAGTTTTTTCACCTCAGGGGCTTTTAAGGAGATTCGTAACTCTATACATAGAACATTAGAGAAGCTCTGCGCATGGACTGAGTAACTCATCCCAATAGCTGAGGTACTAGATTTATCACCCCTCTGGATTTCAAGTGACAATGTTGAATTTCACAGGCCAATGTCAATGACAACAGGAGAAATACTCATCTCCTCTGTAAAGGATACACAACGATGTAGGACATAGAGGTTGGGCTGGAACCCAAGACATTATGAAGACTTCATTAATTGGACTTTGCTGAATCTGGTGGCACTGGCTGCCTCTGGAATATTTTTTTTCCACCAAAAAGGGCTAAGAAATAAATTATTTCATTTGGACAAAATAACAAAAAGCCGGAATAACTAAAGACGGTCATGAGCAATACATCAAAACTATGCTTCGATAAAGAGAACTGTTAACACTTTAATAGTTACAGAATGAACCACTCAATTAATTTCCCACATGCTGAAACAGGTAACAATACATTTCTCTGCCAGTATTACACCCTCCACATCGTATATTTCCACAACTGTTAGTAATTTTATTCAGCATAACGGGAAATAAGTTGCACCTCATGGATTCAGGGAAGGAAAGTAGCCCGAGGAGTGCCGCCAGCTGAGCAACTTGATGAAAGGCGCTTTGCGTTTTGATTTTGTTTTTGTTTGCTTTCCCTCCGCCCTCCCCCATCAATTCCAATGCATGTGCAGATGCTATAAGTCAATAATTGAGGACAAACTACACCTCTCAGCTTCTGCGGCAGCACTTTCAACACACAAGCTGCAATCCCACAGGTGGGGGGAGTAGGGAAGAGTTCTGCTGAACCCCAAGATTACGATGGATGTCCAAAGGGATATATAGTCCATTTCCCGCCCTGCCTTCACTGACAGACTCCAAGGCCCCCCAAAGAGATCATCATCCATGTCTTTAAAAATCTCCTTGTGTCTGAATCCAAGACCCAGAGCCAACTCCCCCCTGCCTCATCAGGCCTGTCATTAAGATGACACTATGTTAAATTACAGGCCTCCACTTGGCCTCAGCTGGGAAGGCAAAGGTCGATAAGCACCACCCCAGCAAGCTCTCAAGAGCTAAATGTGGTGAGCACACACCAGCCCGGGGACACATTGTCAGGAAAAATTGTCTTCCTTGCTAATGATATTTTGGAGAGCTAGTGAGCCTTTGTCTCTGGTTGGCAGAAAATCACTTTCCCCTCGCTCCTCTTTGGCCACAGTAAGAAGGGCCCCCCTATGAGGCACTAGTGGAATCCTACCCAACCCAGACAGAGTGAATGCTCCCATGTTTTCTTATTGTCCTTTCTTAGTTCCAGAACTGCAGTTCTGCATTTTGTAGAGACAGCGTTTTTTTCAGAGGCCAGAATGTCAACAGGCTAAGAACAGTGCTTCCTTATTAGTAAGCCAGTCCCCAGGGGTAGACCACCTTACACTTAAGAACTTTTTCATCAGCAAGTCTGTTTAGACGAGGTCACAGGCAGACTCAATTGATATCCATTCTCACTTGAGTTTGACTATGTAATGATGGACAATAGCCTGGAGTGCAATGCTGCTCACATTCTAAACTAAAGAAGACTTCTCCATGGTGAGAAGAGTAGCCGACGCGATGGACCAACCACAGTGTGTGTCCTGAGTCACCAGACCGGTGAAGGCGAGGAGAAGGGACTTACCTTGGGTTTCACCACCTTCATGAACGCCCCTCTGACCAATGCCTCCTCCCGTTCTCGACTGGTTACTTTCTGGGCATCCAGAAACTTCAAGTTGGGTAGCTTGTGCAGAACAAAGCACCTAAGAGACAGTCAGAGGGAACAGTCAAGAGGTGAGATTATCGGTTCAGAGGTTTATTCTGTCTGTTTTGTCCTAGAGTCCACACAGATTAACGTCACAGAAATGAAAAACTAGGCTTCTCATCTCCTTTGCAAAAAAGAATTGCTCACATGAACAATCTTTCTTTGTGGAAATGTGAATAAGTATCATTTATACCGACACATAACTAAACTTTATAAATGGACTCTGATAAAAAGAGAGTGAAGTGGTGCCAACAGAGGGAGATTGAAAAAGTCAAGTGGTGCCAACAATCTCCCTTTGTCTCTCATGCACACACACTTTTTTTTTCTTTTTTTTAAATTTTTGTGTGCATGTATCATCAAATCAGATCTGACTGGTACAGGAGGAGATTGTCCCTCCTTCCCTGGCAGAGCATCTGGTGGATTCGAACTGTGCGCCTCTGGGATTGTAGTTGCAGCTCCTTGCCACTAGGCCACCAGAGCTCCCCACACACACACTTTTGAATTAGCCTATTGCTGTTATGTGACACCTGGTCAACTACCACTCATACAAATTCTACAAACAACAGATGTGAATCTTACTTTATCCTGCACCATTCTCATGATGCTGGATATGCTTGAGCCCACTGTTACAGTCACTGTATCAATGTTGTTGTTGTTAAATGCCATTGAATTGAGTACAACTCAGAGTGACTCTCTGTACAACATATCTGAACCTTATCCTATTCTGCGCCATCTTTCTCATCTGACACAAGAGAGACTGTTATGTCAGTCCATCTTGTTGGAGATTGTTGCTTTCCTTTGCTAACATTCCATATTTCCAAGAATAATGTCCCTTTCCAAAGAATAGCCTCATTTAACATTTCCAAACTATGAGAGATGAAGCTTCACCCTCTCCCTCCAGAGAGCACCTTGCTGCACTTTATCTAAGACACGTCTGTTCGTTCTTTTGACAGTCCATGGGATAGCCAGTACTCTTCTCCAAGACAAGTTGCAATTCCTAGGTTAAGACAGACTAGGAAGAAGGATTGGCCAACCACTTTCAAAACAACAGGCATTCGGAAACCATATGAATTGTGCCAATAGTGCCCTATTAATTTGCTCTCTTCCATTCTGGAACATAGGCTTCTCTTCTTTGCCAACATAGGTAGTTCTTAGTAAAATGAAATAAACAACCTGACCACACTATTTATAACATGGTCATGTCTATGGTTTGTCTGTGTCACTTTCAATTCTCAGACAAAACACAACTACAGATTGAAACTGAGACAAGAGATATTGGTTCACATCCAGGCCAGTAAACTATATATTGTTCTAATATCAACTCATAAACCCTTAGGATAGAATTAAGGAACACATAAGCCAAAAGTTTCCTCCTTAATGTGTTGAAAAGGGATCTTAAAAACTTTCTTCTTATTACCACTGAGGAACTTCTATGAAGACATCATAAAGAATATCTTTTCAATAGAAACAAGAAGAATAAGTTCATATGGAATAGCAACAGCTCATTAAATGTTACATATTCCCCATTCCTCTAGAAATACTCGTTGACATTCCTTATGATTCAAGGATAAGACAATGGCACCTTGTGATTATCTACTTCAAGTATATAGGCATATGTGACAAGAAGATTGATTTTCCTGGGTATAGATATACCAAGAAACAGTTGTTCAAACATAACAAGGGTACACTGCACTGTCTGAAATCAGGAAAGCTGTATGTCAGAGTGTTCCTAAGAGGGAAGGATTTTGAAGCTCCATTTGACATCTTTTAGGCATGTTTCCAGGAAAGGCCAGGCAGTCCTTAGAGAAGGACATCATGCTTGAAATGATGGAGGGACAGCACAAGAGAGGAAGGTCTAGGAGGAGGTGTATTGACACAGTAATGGGGGAAGAAGTGGGGGGGGTGTCAGAAACAGTGAGATTGGCTCAGGATAGGGCAGGGTTTAGAGCTATTGTACTTAGGGTTGCTATGAATAGCAGGCAAACCAATGGCACATAACAACAACAACATATGTCAGAGTTGTACACTTTTACTAAGTCTATTCAGTATATATGGTGAGCAAAGAATGTGAGAAGTAGAATGAAGAATAATGACTCAGGTTGGAGGGAGACTTATCAATAACCTATGTAACGCAGATGACAAAACTTTGTTTGAAGAAAGTAAAGATTTTGAAGCATTTACCCAGTAAGATTAAAGTCTACTATCTTCAGTGTTAGGTCTTCACAAACAGACCGATAGGCAATATCATGATAAATGGAGAAAAGTTCAAGTTGTCAAAAATTTCATTTGACTTAGATTTACAACAAACATCATGGTGGCAGCGATCAAGAAATCAAAAGCTGTGTTTGGACAAATCTGCTCTTAAGGACCTCTTAAAAGTACTAAAGCTCAAGGATGTCAGTTTAAAGACTAAGGCATAGCTGATTCAAGTCATGGTATTTTCAATTGCATCACATGCATCTGAATGTTGGACAATGAAAAAGAAAAAGGAAAATTCAGACATTTAAGTTATGGTGCTGGCAAAAGTACTGATAATACCATGGACTGCCAACATAATGAATCAGTCTGTATTGTGGAAAGTGTGAGCTGGGTACATCCTAAAGACAAGGATGGTGAAAATTCATCTCACTTTTTGTTGAGAGGAGGCATCAATCATTTAAAAAATCTTTGTTCTTGGAAAATTAGCAGGCCAGTGAAAGAGAGGACAACCCTTAACAAGATTGGATTGACACTCTGACTGCAACAGTGGGCTCGAGCATGGCAAAGATTGTGAGGACAGCACAGGATAGGGAAAGGCTGCCATCTGCTTACAAAGTGAATTATGCTCAACTAGATGGCACCTAACAAGAGTGACATAGGTAGTTGTCTACACCTACAGTTCCGTTTATTCAATGACTGTTCCCAGTGTGCCAAGTGCTTATACTTAGCAATTAAATGTGCAGTTTTTTCAATGCTGTTTTGCTGAAAAAGAAGAGGAGTTTTTGTTGTTGTTAGGTACCATCAGGTCGAGTATGACTCATGGCAACCCTATGAACAAAATAACTGAACTCTGCTCTTTCCTGTCCCATTCTCACACTTTCCAACACACAAGAGCCCATTGCAGCTGTCATTGTGTCAATCCAGCTGGTTGAAGGTCTTCTTCTTTACCAACCCTCCACCCTTCCCAATATCACGTCCTTCTCCAAGGTATAGCACCTCCTTGCAACATGCCCAGAGCATGTGATGTGAAGCCTCATCATTCTCACCTCCAAAGAGTGAAGAGGTAAGTATCCAATATTATGGCAATGAACTGACTATATCTAAGGGAATCTGATGCCTCCTTCTTGCCTCCAAACTCCTCTGTTCATTCAAATTTCAAGTCTCATTCCCATCAAATTTCCCTCTGTACTCACAACTCTCATTGCTGTCTCTCTTTTTCTGTACTTTTAACATGCACTATGAACATTACACATAACAACACAACAACAGCATGAACATTACATAGTTCGACAGTGCTGGTTCTTCCCCAAATTGTAAGCTTCTTGAGGGCAGGGGAAATTCCTTTGCTTACTATAACCTCATTTTTGAAACTTAAATTAGAATGTATTCAATGAAATGCCACTTCTTATCAGCTGTACAATTATTTCTTGAGCATCTTCTGTAAGGGGAAAAGATACATCACATTGAGCTACCTGCCAAGACTGAAAATATGTGTTGGGCAACTACTGGAAGGCACTGTTTTTGGAGAAGCTTCCAGAATGATTCAGGTGTGGAAGCAGGAGTAGCATCCACTTCCTAAACCAGATGTCTCTGGAAATTCTATAAAATCTATAAACATAAAGAAAAGACGTTAATCGTAGAACAGAGTTCAGGTCTTTTGTTCATAGGGTCACTATGAGTAATATTCAACTTGACAACACTTAAGCTAAGTGAGACTAGTGTTATATTTTGGAAGAAGAGCTTTCTACTTTGTACATCACTCCTTGTCAATTTGCTGTACTGTGGTATCCTGGGTTTGCTGTGATGCTGAACCTTGTGCCACTGGGATTTCAAATACCATTATAATTTACCAATGTGGACAGTGTTTGGTGGAGTTCCCAGTGGTAGGACAGGTTTGGAAGCAAGAGTGGTATCCCCTTCCTAAACCACATGCCTATGGAAACTCTATAAACTTAGAGAAACTGTGATAGTTATAGAAAGGCATTAGGTCTTTTGTTCATAGAGTGGCTATGTATGAGTCATGTGTGACTCGACGGTAATCAACAACAACAACAACAACAAAAGTGTCCAGACTAGCCCCCAAGTCCTAGAAATCTGACTTTCTATCTGGTTCCTGCTTTGTTTCCAATCATTAGTACCTTTGTCTCTATTTCATTTCTTCCTGGGCCTCTCTTCCATCTCTCTCCACATGACCCCTTAGCCTTATCCAAAATCAAGGAAGATCCACTAAGGGTCCAAAAGCCTTTCCCATCCTCCAGCATTAATTCCCACCGGCCTCACTCAATGTCAGAGAAAGCTTCCATCTTCTGCTTGTAGCAGCAAAGTCTTGATGACAACAGATTCTTTCAAATAAAGACATGTACAGACAGAAACAATATGTCAAGAGTGACGCTCAAAGGAGTAAAGACACCCACTAAGTGTAGGGTGGGAAAAGATGAATATTCAGGTGAAGAAAACATCAGTATTAGAAAATCAGCCAGTGTTTAATGATGGAATGAAAGATGCCTTCACAGGGCTGCCAGGAACCAGCATGACAACAGACAGCGCATTGTCATCTCACCCCACTTTGGATCAGAGCCCTGAAATCAAAGCAGAGAGAAAGAGAGAGAGAGGTGCTGGCTTTTAAGCTAGTTAAAAATTTGAGATGACAAAGAGCTGCTGTTTTCAGAGCACTCTTCTTATAACAGTCAAAGAAAGAGCCTGTGAAAAATAGGCTGCCAGGTGCCCCGGGGACTAGGGGTGACTTAACGCCTATCTGCAGTGCCAGCCTAGCCTCTCCAGGTGGGTGGCTGTGAGGAG